ATCCGGACGAGGTGGCCGACGATCTGACCGTCACCCTCATGCTGGCCATGGAGCGGCTGTCGCCGTTGGAACGGGCCGCCCTTCCTGCTCCACGATGTGTTCGACGTCGCGTTGCTCGAGGGGCGGACGCTCGACCGCGCGCCGGCCACCGTGCGGCAACTCGCCTCCCGCGCCCCGGCGGCATGTCGCCGAGGCGCGGCCGCGCTTATCCGGTCGATGCGCAAAGCGGCGCGGATCACTCGCGCCTTCTTCGCGGCGGCGCGGGACGGCGACGCGCGTGCCCTGTCGGACCTGCTGGCGGAGGACGTTGCGATCCATTCCGATGGCGGCGGGCGCGTTCTGGCATTCCACAACATCATCCGGGGTCTGGCAAAGGCGCAGCGGTTGTTTCATGGGGCTACGTCGCAAATATCCCAACGAGCCTGCCAGGCTGATCCGCTTCGCCACGATCGACGGCCTGCCCGGCTATGTCAGCCATACGGGTGGCGGCGTGCTCCAGACCACCGCTCTCGACATCCGCGACGGCCGGATCACGGCGATTTATATCGTCCGCAATCCGGACAAACTCATCCACGTTGCAACCTCTTCAGACCGGACAGCTCCTCGCACGTGGCTGACGCCGGAATGCCAGCAGCATAATCAATGCCGCCGCCGCCATCGCCGCACCGGCCAGCGACGACCGGCAAGCCCAGCCCGGCCCCGATCACGCCGCCGCCCAGCGCCGCGCCGATCGCATTGCCAGGTTGAAGCACCGATGTTCATCGCGGAGGCGAGGTTCAGGGCGTCGAGGCCGCATCCATCACCCGCATCTGCAGGGGCGGCACGATCGCGAAGCTGGCGATGCCCCAGATGAGGATCGTGATGGCAGCGGTCATCGGCCATTGCATCAGCACGGTGAAGGCGAGCAGCGTCAGCGCCGCCATCGCCAGCATGGTCATCAGCGCCGGTCGACCGAACGGTCCACGCCAGCCGCCCGCCGACGCCATTGCCGATCGTCGCGCCGACCCCGAACAGCATCAGCATCGCGGTGACATAGCCGGTCGAACCATGCGTCACATCCCGCAGGATCGGGACGATATAGGTGAACACGGTAAAGACGCCGCCAAAGCCGATCGTGGTCAGGGGCCAGCGCCATCACCACCGGTCCGCGCGTCAGCACGCGCAGTTCGGCGCGCATGTCGCCGCCCTCCGCAGCCGGCAGCGGCGGCAGCGCGAGGCGCAGCGACAGCATCGCGATCGCGCCGACGCCTGCGATCCCGGCGAACGCGGAGCGCCAGCCAACCGCCTCGCTGACCCAAGTCGCCGCCGGCACGCCGCCGATGGTGGCGACGGTCAGCCTGTGAACATCGCCGCCACCGCGCCCGCGCGCTTGTCCGGCGGGACGAGGCTGGCGGCGACCACGGATCCGACGCCGAAGAACGCGCCATGGTTGAAAGAGACGACGTTCGCGCTGCCATCAGCATCCAGTATCCATCCGCCGCCGCCGACAGCGCGTTGCCGAGCGTGAAGATGCCCATCAAAGCGATCAGCAGTGTCCGCCGGTCGATCCGCCCGGTGGTGAGCGTCTCGAGCGGCGCGCAAACCAGCACGCCCATCGCGCAGGCGCTGACCAGCAGCCCGGCGGCGGGTATCGACACCCGTAGGTCGGCGGCGATCACCGGCAACATGCCCATCGGCGCGAATTCGGTCACGCCGATGCCGAAGGGCGCCGACCGCCAGCGTGATCAGCCCGAGGTTGAATTTCATGATCTTGGCTCCCTCAAACCATCGGCGGCGCGAGGCGGGCAAAGCCCTCCTGCTGCCGGTAGGGGGTGTACGGATAAGGCGGGAGTACGTCACTCGCGGTGTCGAGCATCGACACCTGCTCGGCCGTCAGCGCCCAGCCGACCGCGCCGAGATTGTCGTGCAGTTGGGCCTCATCGCGCGCGCCGATGATGACCGACGCCACGGTCGGCCGCCGCAGCAGCCAGTTGATCGCGACCTGCGGCACGGTCCTGTTCGTCTCCGCCGCCACCGCCCCCAGCGCATCGACGACGCGGTAGAGATGCTCGTCCTCGACCGGCGGCGCGAACTGAGCCGTCTCATGGAGGCGACTGCCCGCCGGGATCGGCCGTCCGCGCCCGATTTTGCCGGTCAGCCGGCCCCAGCCGAGCGGGCTCCAGACCAGCGCGCCGACACCTGATCCGCTGCCAGCGGCATCAGGTCCCATTCATAGGCCCGGCCGATCAGCGAATAATAGACCTGATGCGCGACGAGGCGCAGCCAGCCGTGACGATCGGCCAAGCCTTGCGCCTTCATGATCTGCCAGCCGGGATAGTTGGAGACGCCCGCATAGCGGACCTTGCCGTCGGCGATCAGCCGGTCGAGCGTGCCCATCACCTCCTCGGTCGGCGTGGAGACGTCGAAGGCGTGAAGCTGGAGCAGGTCGATCCGGTCGGTGCCCAGCCGCTGCAGCGCCGCCTCGACCGCGCCGATCAGCCGCGCCCGCGACGCGCCCCAGTCCTGCGGGCCGTCGCCCATCGGCAGGCCGGTCTTGGTCGAGATCAAGACGGCATCGCGACGACCGCCGATCGCTTCGCCCAGCACCTGTTCCGAGGCGCCATCCGAATAGACGTCGGCGGTGTCGAACAGCGTGACTCCGGCGTCGAGACAGATGTCGACCAGCCGCCGCGCCTCGGTGGCGTCGCTTTGTGCCCCTGGGCGCTGAACAGCGGCCCCCGCCGCCGAACGTGCCCGCGCCGAACGACAGGGCCGGAACGCGCAGGCCGGACGATCCCAATTGCCGATATTCCGCGACACCTCCTTTCCCGAATGTCATTGTCAGGCGCATAGATGGACGGTGAAGCAGCGTGGCGGAACCGTCCGTCGGTGCAAAGGATCTATGCCTTGGACGCAAAGGTAGCTGGCAACGACGATCGCGCCCGGTCGCTTGCCTTGTTCGCGAGCGTGGTGGAGGAAGCAGCTTCTCCGCCGCCGGTCGCACGCTCGGGCTGACGCCCTCGGCGGTGGCGCGCGATCGACCGGATCGAGGCGCGGCTGGGCGTACGGCTGCTGCTGCGCTCCACCCGCGCGTTGACGCTGACCGCCGAGGGGCAAGCCTATCTGCTTGCGGCGCGGCGCATCCTCGCCGATCTCGACGACGCCGAGCAGCAGATCGCCGATCAGGGCGCGCCGCGCGGACGGCTGCGGATCAGCGCGGCGCTGGCGCATGGCCGGTTGTGCGTCGTGCCTCTGCTCGGCGATTTTGCGCGCGCTTATCCGCACATCCTGATCGACATCGCACTGACGGACACGCTGGTCGATATCGCAGCGGGTCAGGTCGATGTCGCGATCCGCTTCCGCCCGCTCGCCGACAGCGGACTCACCGCCCGCAAATTGTCCGAGGCGCGACGGGTGATCGTGGCGTCGCCCGACTATCTGGCGCGGGCAGGCACGCCCAGGGTTCCGGAGGACCTGCACGCCCATAACTGCCTCAACTTCAACTTTCGCCGCGCCGAACCGATCTGGCCCTTCCGCCGCGACGGGAAGGATTTCGCGCTTAGTGTCGAAGGCGGCATCGTCGCCAACAATGGCGAGACGCTGGGTCATCTCGCCGCCGCCGGGGTCGGCATCACCCGGGTCAGCCGCTTCAGCGTCGCGGCCGAGATCGCCGACGGGCGGCTCGTGCCGTTGCTTGAGGACTATAATCCGGGCGACGTCGAGTTGATCCACGCGGTCTTCGTCAGGGGCGCCACCACGCCTGCACGGGTTCGCGTGTTCGTCGACTTCTGGTCGAGCGCCTGGCCAGCCGGTTCGAGTAGCGGGCGCGACACGGTCTTTTCCAGAAAGGCGTACAGCCGGTCGTCATCGCTCATCGCGACGTTGAAGCGCATGTGATCGCGCCAGCCGCCGTTGGGACTGAACACCGGCCCCGGTGCGAGTACGATACCTTCCGTGATCGCCCGCCGGGCAAGCGCAACGGCATCGACGCCATTGGGCAATCGCGCCCATAGGAAGATGCCCGCCGCCGGATTGGTCCATGGCTCGATACCAATGGCCCGGAGACGTTTCGCGACACGGGCGGTCGCGCGGGCAAGCCGGGTACGAACGCCGTCGACATGACGCCGATAGCTGCCATCGGTCAGCACCGCGTGCAGCAGGTTAGCGGCGAGCGGACTGCCCGCCATCGACGTCGCGATCCGCAGGTCGGCCAGCCCGTCGATCCAGTCAGGTCGCGCCGCGATATGGCCACAGCGCACCGCCGCCGACAGCGATTTCGAGAAGCTGCCGATGCGGATCGTCCGGTCGAGGCCGTCGAAGGCCGCCAGTCGTGGCGACGGCGTGTGCTCGAAGTCGGCGAAGATATCGTCCTCGACGACGACCATGTCATGGGCCTCCGCGATCTTGAGCAGCCGGTGCGCGGTGGCGGCGGCGAGCGACGCGCCGGTCGGGTTATGAACGCCCGAGTTCGTGAGATAGAAGCGCGGCCGATGCGTCGCGGCGGCCTCGGCGAAGATGGCGACGTCCGGACCGGTCGGTGTCATCGGCACGCCCACGACCTTGGCGCGGTGCGCCCAGAAGCGCCGCCGAAATAGCACGGGTCGTCGACCAGCACGGTATCGCCCGGCTGAAGCAGGAAGCGGCACACCAGATCGAGCGCATGGGTGCCGCTGTCGGTCAACAGGATCTGGTCGGAGCCGGCTTCGATCCCCTGATCCGCCATCCGCCTCGCCAGCAATGCCCTGAGCGGGGGCGAACCAAAGGGGAAGCATAGCCCGCCAGCGTGCCGTTCTCGTCGGATCGCGCCGCCCCACGCATCGCCTTGCGAAGGGCATCGCCCGCCAGCCAATCATCGGGCAGCCAGCCGCATCCCGGCATGATTTCGTTCCGCCGCTCGCCCAGTGACTGGCGCAGCATCCAGAGCGGATCGACCTCGCGCTCCTTCGTGCTGGCCAGCCGATCCAGCGCCAGCGGGGCCAAGGGCGCGGCAACATAAAATCCCGATCCCGGTCGCGACCGGATCATGCCCTCGGCCGCGAGGCGATCATAGCCTCGACCACCGTCGAGCGCGCGCGACGCCGCTCGTCTCGGCCATCGCGCGGATCGACGGCAGCCGGGCGCCCGGCGTCAGCGTGCGGGCGTCGATTCGGTCGCGGATCGCGCGACCACCATGCCGGTGCAGGTTTCGTCAGGGGCGCTCGCCATCGTACTGCCAATCTCACCAATACAGTTCGGCATGATCGTACCGATGTGTATCTGTCAGCGCCAGTTGTCGCGCGATAGGACCAGCCATCATCAACAGGAGATGCCCGTGACCGCCCCTTTCGCCTCGTCGACGTATTCGGCACCGATCCGCTGACCGGCAACCCGCTGGCCGTCATCGCCGATGCCGATGGCCTGACGACGGACGAGATGCAGGCGATCGCAAGCTGGCTGAATTTTTTCGGAGACGACCTTCCTGCTGCCGCCGACCGATCCGTCTGCCGACTATCGGGTACGCATCTTCACCATGGCGCACGAACTGCCCTTCGCCGGGCATCCGACCACTGCGGCAGTGCGCATGCGTGGGCGGAAGCGGGCGGACGATCGAAGCAGGACGGCGTGATCGTGCAGGAATGCGGCGTCGGGCTGGTGACGATCCGACGCGATGGCGACCAGCTTGCTTTTTGCCGCCCCACCGTTGCTGCGCGGCGGCACGCCGACCGAAGCCGAGATCGCTCAGGTCGCAGAGTTGCTGCGGATCGACCGCTCGGCGATTGTCGATTCCGCACTGGGCGGATAATGGCCCCGGCTGGATCGCGGTCATGCTGGGATCTGCCGAGGCGGTGCTGGCGGTCGAGCCGGCGCGGTACCACCCCGAGCATATCGACATCGGCATCGTCGGCCCGCACGCCCCGGTGGCGAGGTGGCGTTCGAACTGCGCGCGCTCTTCACCGGCGCGCATGGCGGGCTGATCGAAGACCCGGTGACCGGCAGCCTCAACGCGTCCGTTGGCCAGTGGCTGTTCGCCAGCGGTCGGGCCAGCGGCAGCTATGTCGCCGCGCAGGGGACGCGCCTCGGCCGGAGCGGGCGTATCCATGTCTCGCAGGATGAGACCGGCCCGGTCTGGGTCGCGGTGCGACGCGGACGCTGTTCTCCGGACGAACGCAAGGGTGATGCAGGTCGCGGTCCTGACCTTCGACGGCTTCAACGAACTGGATTCGTTCGTCGCCGCTGCGATCATCAACCGGCTTCGCCCGCATGGCTCCGGCCGCGCACATCACCGCACCGACGGAGACGGTGACGTCGATGAACGGCGTCACGGTCCAACGCCAGCGGCCGCTCGAATTCCTTGAGGAGGCGGATGCGGTGCTGATAGGCAGCAGTGCCCACGCGGGAGATCGCCGCCGATCCGGCGATGCTTGCCCGGCTTCGGCTCGATCCCACGCGGCAATTGATCGCGGCGCAGTGTTCGGGGACGCTGTTGTTGGCTAAACTCGGCCTGATCGGCGATCTGCCAGCCTGCACCGACCTCACCACCAAGCCGTGGGTGGTGGAGGCCGGTGTTACGGTCATCGACGCACCGTTCGCCGCTCATGGCAATGTCGCGACGGCGGGCGGTTGTCTGGCGGCGCCCTACCTCGCCGCGTGGATGATCGCGCGCGGAGGGAACCCGAACTGGCGCGCGAAACACTTCGTTACGTCGCGCCGGTCGGCGAGAAGACGCGCTTCGTCGACCATGCCATGGCGATCGTCGCGGGCGAGTTGGCATTCGCCTGACCCGCCCGCGCGCTTAGCTCGTAGGAACCCGCGTCGAGCTTACCCCCTGCGGGCTGTCCCAGCCTTCAAGGACGATCTTGCCCCGCGTGGTCGCGCTCGATCCGACGGTGCGCCTCAATCAGATTGGCGGCATTGATCGGGAGAGCGTGTCGGTCGCCGTGGTGCGAATGCGCCCTTCGTCCACCAGTTCGGCCACCGTGTTCAACAGTCGACCCTGCTCGCCGACGTCCGGTGTGTCGAAGAGCAACCGGGTGAACATCAATTCCCAATGTACCGACACCGCCTTGCGCTTGAAGGCGACGATGTCGAGGCTGGCGGGATCGTCGATCAGCGCGAAGCGCCTGCGGCGCGATCAGCTCGGCGATATCGGCCAGATGGCGATCGGTATGGGTGGTCGAGAAGACGAAGGCGGGCGCGCCGATCTCCAGCGCGGCGATCTGCGGTGCCATCGGCCGGGAATGATCGATGACATGATGTGCGCCGAGTCGCGCACCCAGCCTTCCGTCTCGGCGCGCGAGGCGGTGGCGATCACGGTCAGGTCGGTCCGAGCACGCGCGATCTGGATCGCCGCGGAACCGACACCGCCCGCGCCGCCGATGATCAGGATGGCGCGGGCGCCGCCGGCCGGTTGGTCGTCGACCTTCAACCGGTCGAACAGGGTTTCCCAAGCCGTGATGGCCGTCAGCGGCAGCGCCGCCTTCTCTGAAGCCGATGCTGCGGGGGCGATGGCCGACGATCCGCTCGTCAACTAGCTGATATTCTGCATTACTGCCGTCGCGCATCAGGTCGCCCGCATAGAAAACCTCGTCACCCACCTTGAAGCGGGTAGCCTCTGGGCCGACCGCCTCGACGATGCCCGCCGCATCCCAGCCAAGAATGCGCTCGTCACGCCCGTCGAATGGCGTGGCGCCGGTGCGAACCTTCGCATCGACCGGGTTCACCGAGATGGCACGAACCGCAACCGGGATGTCACGCCCGGTCGGAGCGGGCCGTGGCAGCTCTATGTCGATCAGGGCTTCGTCCCGGTCAATCGGGCCGGGCTGGCGATAGGCTATGGCGCGCATGGGTCTTGCTCCTTTTTGCTAACGCACGCGAGATAGGGACGGTGTCAGCTTATGTCGTAGGCACAAAAACGCTCATAGTGTCAAAAGGATACTATCCCGATGGCGAAAGCCCGTCACTCCCGCCTCGACTGTACCCGTGCTGCGCCGTCGAAGCGGCGGTGAGCCTGATCGACGGCAAGTGGAAGGCGGTGATCCTCTACCATCTTCAGGACGGGCCGACGCGCTTCAACGAACTGCGCCGCCGGGCTGGTGACGTGACACCACGCATGCTGACCAATCAACTCCGCGAATTGGAGATCGACGGCCTGATCGAGCGCGAGGTCTTCGCCCAGTGCCGCCACGCGTCGAGTACAGCCTGTCCGATCGCGGCCGATCCCTGTCGCCGATCATCGCGGCGCTGAAGGAGGGGGCGACGCGAACATGGATCTCTTCGCGCGGCGGTGAGCATCCGGCCGATGTGCCGATGACGGTCGCCGACGTCGCCCAACTGCTCCCGCCGGAATTCGTCCCACATTTCGCCCAGATTGGAAAATGTCGGATAAACGACGGATTTCCGCCGCTATCGCGCAGCGTGTTCACATCCTGTTCCTCTTGCAGTAAAGGGTACGCATGGCGGTGCGCAAGATCATCCACGTCGACATGGACGCCTTCTACGCGTCGGTGGAGCAGCGCGACGATCCATCGCTGCGTGGCAAGCCGGTCGCGGTCGGACATGCCGCCGCGCGGGCGTGGTAGCGGCGGCCAGCTACGAGGCGCGCACGTTCGGCGTTCGCTCCGCTTTGCCTTCGGTCACGGCGCTCCGGCGCTGTCCCGACCTGATCTTTGTGCCGCCGCGCTGAGGTGTACCGCGACGTCTCGCGCCAGATCCATAACGTGTTCGCGCGCTATACCGACCTGATCCGGTCCGTCCTGCCGACCCGAAGAGGATAAGGCTGGTCCGCGTGACGATATCGAACTTCGTCGAGGCCAAGGCTGCGGCGTCGGCCGAATTGCCGATCTTCGCAGAGGCGGTGGCGTGATGCTCGACCTGTTCGATGCGCCGTTCCTGCCGGGGCTCGCCACGCGGGCGAACCTAATCACGGCGAATGAGGAACGCATGCTGATCGAGCGGATCGACGCGACCGATCTCGAACCGTTTCGCTTCGAGGGCTGGACGGGCAAGCGCCTGACGACGTCCTTCGGATGGAGCTACGACTTCGAGTCAGGCGCCCGAAGGACGCGCCGCCCATGCCGGACTGGCTCGTCTCCATTCGTGACCGGGCGGCCAATTTCGCCGGGCTCGCGCCCGAGGCGCTGATCCGTGCGCTGCTCATCCGCTACGACCCGGGTGCCGGGATCGGCTGGCATCGCGACCGGCCGATCTACGGCCATGTCCTCGGCATCTCGCCCAGGCGAACCGGCGACGATGCGCTTCCGGCGTCGGCGCGCCGATGGTCTCGACCGGGTGTCCGTGCCGCTCGATCCGCGGGGCGGCTATCACATGAGCGGACCCGCCCGCCACGACTGGGAGCACAGCATCGCGCCGATGAAGCATCCGCGCTGGTCGATCACCTTTCGCAGCTGGCGGAGCATCGGTGATCGGTAGAAACAATTTTATCGTTCCCGCCCCATGGCCGACGATCAGCAATGCTGGTTAACCGCACTCGTCGAGAACGCCGTGAGGCTAATGACATACCCTTTCGGCAGGTGTCGACCAGCGCCAGCCGATCACGTTCACTCGGCCGGACGTCTGGTCCCGCCATTAGCTGCCAGTTGACCTGATCAAGACCAGTGAACCATCTGTAAACATAGTCGATCACGACTTCGGGAACATCGAAGAAATTCAAACGCAATGCCAATTTCCTTCGAACGACATCTTGTCGCAGACCGGCAAGAGCCAAGGGCGAGGTTTTATTTGCTCACCGGCTTTTGCAGGCAATATCGCCTGTAAACGAGGCGCACGCCATGCATGTCCTCATATGCCACGGGTGAGGAGACTTGAATATGATTTCGACGCGCCCCGCCATCGCAACAACAGCGCGCGCGTCGAAAATTCATGGCCTTGCTCAGCACTGCGTGGGACGGGCGAGTATCGGGTTCAGACGTTCGCGGCATACTCGTCCGAGCATCGACGGTCCCGTCCACCGAGGTGGCCGGTTATTGGACTTAAGCCGTTGCACCGCCATCAATGTTGAGCGTCGTGCCGGTGATGTAGCTCGCATCCGGCCCGGCGAGGAACGCGACCGCGCCTGCGATCTCCTCGACTTTGCCATAGCGGCCGAGCGGGATCGCTTGCAGCACCTGTCCGGCGAACTCGCTGTCGGCCGGGTTCATGTCGGTATCGATCGGCCCCGGCTGCACGGTGTTGACCAAGATGTTGCGTGGGGCGAGGTCCTTAGCCCAGCCGCGCGCTAGCGCCGCCACCGCCGCCTTGGTCGCACTATAGACCGTGGTCGCGGGAAGGCCATTTCGCCCGAGATGCTGCCAATCAGAATGATCCGGCCGCCGTCGCGAAGATGTGGCAATGCCGCGCGGGTACCGACGTGCAGGCCCTTCACGTTGACGCCGAACTGACGGTCGTACGTCGTCGGTGTCCTCGGTGACGGTGGAAAACTCAGCCACCCCGGCATTGTGGATCAGGATGTCGATACCACCGGGGCAGCGGCGGCCTGTTCGACGCCCGCCCGCTGTGATGCCGGATCGGCGGCGTTTGCACGGAAGGCGAAGGCGGTGCCGCCCGCGCTCTCGATCGCCGCCACCGTGGCATCGGCAGCGGCCTTGTTGCCGGCATAGGTAATCGCCACGGTCGCGCCATCGGCTGCCAGCCGCTTGGCGATGGCCGAAACCGATCCTGCGCGATCCACCGGTGACGAGCGCTGTCCTGCCCTGAATCGACATAGATATTCTCCAAAATGCTGGCCCGCGATACGCCGTCGTGCGCTGTCGGCAGGCGGTAAATGGGATGACGCTTCAACAGTTCAAGAATACCGAACTATTAAAATGGAGGTGGTGCCCTATATCGGTTATATGGCCCGCTTTACTCACCCCCCCGGCTGGAGGACGTTCCGCTCGATCTGGCGCTGCACGCGCTGGCCGATCCCAACCGGCTGGCCATGGTGGCGCGGCTTGCCGCAACCGAGCGGCTGAGCTGTACCGATGCCGCGCCGTGCGAGTCCATTCCGAAGAGCACGCTGTCCAACCATCTGAAGCTGCTACGCGCGGCGGGGCTGATCGAGACGACGCAGGCCGGGCGTGAAATGATCAACACGCTGCGCCGCGCCGAATTCGACCAGCGGTTTCCCGGTCTGCTCGACGCGGTGCTCTCCAACCGGCCGGCCTGATCACCGCCCGATTGCGTCAAGCTCGGCCAAGGCGTCGTCAGGCAGCGTCAGCGAGGCCGCGGCGAGGTTCTCCTTAAGTGCGCCACCGACGAGGTGCCGGGTATTAGCAGAATGTTGGGCGACCGCTGAAGCAACCTTGGGCAAGCGCCACCTGCATCGGCGTCACATTCAGCCGCGCCGCCACATCGGAGAGCGCCGCCGACTGGAGCGGGCTGAAGCCACCCAGCGGGAAGAAGGGGACGTAGGCCACGCCTTCCGCCGCCAGCGCATCGATGAAGGATCGTCATCGCGGTGCGCAAGGTTGTACTGGTTCTGGACGCCGACGATCGCGGCGATGTCGCGGGCTTCCTCGAACTGGGTCGGCGTCACGTTGCTGGGCCCGATATGGCGCACCAGCCCCTGACGCTGCAGGTCCGCCACCGCCTTGAGCAGGCAGCGCGGCCAACGATCCTTCCGCCGGGCCGTGGACGTCGAACATCAAGCGCAGGTTGACCACATCGAGCGCCTCCACCCGGAGATTCGTTGGGTGTCCTCAACCGCACGGGTCAGTTCGTCCGGTGCGAATGCGGGCAGCCGGACGCATCGTCACCACGCCGTGCGCCGATCTTGGTCACGATCAGCAGGTCGTCAGGATAGGGAGACAGCGCTTCGCGGATCAGCCGGTTGGTAACGTGCGGGCCGTAGAAGTCGCTGGTGTCGATGGGTCGACGCCGGCCTCGACCGCGGTGCGAAGCACCGCGAGCGCTATCATGGTCGCGGGGCGGTCCGAACACGCCGGGTCCTGCGAGTTGCATCGCGCCGTAGCCGAGCCGCTTCACGTGGCGGCCGGCAAAGAAATAGGTGCCTGCACGGTCGATCATCATCGTATCTCCTGTGCTGACATCGAGATACGACTTGCGGATCTTGGCGATAAGCCGGGTGATCCGCACGGGCTGTACGGAAAACCGAACGATGAAGGCGGACCTTGCCGATCTCAACGCGTTCGGCGGTCGCGCAGGCACGCGGGTTTCGCGATGCGGCGCGCACCGTCAGGTCGAGCGCCTCGACGCTCAGCGAAGCGGTACGGCGGTTGGAGGCGCGGCTGGGCGTCCGGCTGCTCCATCGCACCACGCGCAGCGTTGTGCCGACCGAGGCAGGGACGCGGCTGATCGAGCGGCTGGCGCCCGCGCTGGGCGAGGTGAAGGCGGCGCTCGACGTCGTGAACCTGTTCCGCGACCGGCCGGCGGGCACGCTCAAGCTCAACGTGCCGGTCAGCGCGGCGCGGCTGGTGCTGCCGCCGATCCTGCCCGGCTTCTCGCCGCCTATCCCGACATTCAGGTCGAGATCGTCGCCGAGGACGGCTTCGTCGACATGGTGGCGTCGGGTTGCGACGCCGGCATCCGCTATGACGAGCGGCTGGAGCAGGACATGATCGCGGTGCCGATCGGCCCGCGCGTCCAGCGTTTCGCGACGGCGGCGGCCCGGCCTATCTCGACGCACGCGGACGGCCCGACCATCCACGCGACCTCCTCGACCATGCCTGTCTACGCGGCCGGTTCAGCAGCGGTGCGCTCACCAGCCCTTGGGAGTTCGAACGCGACGGCGAGTCATACGGATCGAGCCGCAGGGACCGTTGATCGCCGGTGTCGCAGGTGCAGTGGAGCTGCTGGTCGATGTGGCGGTGGCGGGCGGAGGGATCATCTACCTGTTCGAGGACTGGCTCGCGCCGGCGTTAGGGGAGCGGCACGCTCGAAGCGGTGCTGCCCGACTGGTGGCAGTCCTTCTCCGGCCCGTTCCTCTATTATTCCGGCCGCCGCCTCGTGCCGCCGCCGCTGCGTGCGTTCCTCGACTTCATCCGCAGCTAGAGCATCGCGAGCGGCTCGGGGGCCGCGTGGCTGCGGAAACAGGTCGTCGAGGCGTCGTAGCTCGGCTTCGGACAGTATGAGGTCCAGCGCCGCCCGGTTGTCGCGCACATGGGCGACGGACCCGGCCTTGGGAATGGGGAGGATGCCGTCCCGCGCCAGCAGCCAAGCGAGAAGCGAGTTGTGCGGGCGTGGCATCGCGCTCGGCAGCCATCCGGGTAAGGCCGCGATGGGCGACCAGACGACCTTGCTCGACCGGGCTATAGGCCGCGACCGGCATGCGATGCTGCGCGCAAGCCGGGACGAGGTCGTATTCCGGACCACGGCGGTCAAGTTGTAAAGGATCTGGTCAGTCTGGCAGCCCTCGCCGCTGCTCGCAACGAGCTCCGCCATGTCATCGGTGTCGAGATTGCTGACGCCCAGCGCAAAAAATCTTGCCCGCCGCGACCAGTCGCTCCATCGCCTCGACCGTCTCGGCCAGCGGCACGTTGCCGCGCCAGTGCAGCAAGTACAGGTCGAGCCGGTCGGTACCGAGCCGTTCGAGGCTTGCTTCGCAAGCCCGCGGCAACCGGTCGCGCGAGCCATTCTGGGATAGGCCTTGCTGACGAGGAACACCTCGTCGCGCACGCCCGCGATCGCCTCGCCGACCCGGCGTTCGGACTCGCCATCGGCATACATCTCGGCGGTGTCGATCAGGGTCAGGCCGAGCGACAGTCCCTCGCGCAACGCGCGATCTCATCCGATCGGCGGGCGGGTCTTCCGCCATCATCCGGTGCCTTGGCCCCAGCGCGGGGACGGTCGTACCGTCGGGAAAGCGGATCGTCTTCATGCAGTGGTCAACGTCCGATGTGGCGGATCGGACCAAGGGCTGTTCGGAAGCGTTCGGCCGTTGGAGGCAGGAAGGAACGCGGCACCATGCAGCTATACGGCACACCGG